CCAAATAGCCAAAGTAATATTGAAGAAGAAAACCAAAACGGGAGGCATCACCATCCCAGACTTTAGCCTCTACTACAAAGCTGTCATCATCAAGACAGTATGGTATCGGCACAAAAACAGACACATAGACCAATGGAATAGAATTGAGAACTCAGACGTGGGCCCAAAACTATACAGCCAACTAATCTTTGACAAAGCAGGAAAGAGTATCCAATGGAAAAAAGACAGCCTTTTTAACAGATGGTGTTGGGAGAACTAGATAGCAGTATGCAGAAGATTGAAACTAGATCAATTTCTGACACCATACACAAAAATAAACTCAAAATGGATAAAGAACCTGAATGTGAGACAGGAAACCATCAAAACCCTAGAGGAGAAAGCAGGAAACAACTTCCCTTCCTTTATCTAGTCGCAGCATTTTCTTACTCAACACATCTCCAAAGGCAAGAGAATCAAGAGCAAAAACGAACTACTGGGACCTCATCAAGATTAAAAGCTTCTGCAGTGCAAAGGAAATAATCAATAAAACTAATAGGCAACTGACAGAATGGGAAAAGGTAGTTGCAAATGATGTATTGGATAAAGGGCTAGTATCCAAAATCCATAAAGAACTCACTGAACTCCACACCCAAAAAACAAATAATGCAGTAAAGAAATGGGCAGAAGACACGAACAGACACTTCTCCAAAGAGGAAATCCAGATGGCCAACAGACATATGAAACGATGCTCAACGTCCCTCATCATCAGGGAAATAAAAATCAAAACCACACTGACATACTACCTTACACTAGTCAGAATGACTAAAATGAATAAATCAGGAGGCTATAGATGCTGACGAGGATGTGGAGAAATGGGTACCCTCTTACACTGTTGGTGGGAATGTAAGTTGATGCAGCTAGTCTGGAAAACAGTGTGGAGGTTCCTCAAAAAATTAACAATAGAACTCCCCTATGACCCAGCAAGAGCACTGCTAGGAATTTACCCAAGGGATACAGGAGTGCTGATGCATAGGGGCACATGTACTCCAATGTGCCTAGCAGCACTTTCAACAATAGCCAAATCATGGAAAGAGCCTAAATGTCCTTCAACTGATGAATGGGTCAAGAAGATGTGGTTAATTAGGGGGTACCTGGGTGGCTCAGTTGGTTAAGAAGATGTGGTTTATCCAATAGCTAAAACATGGAAAGAGCCTAAGTGTCCATCAACAGATGAATGGATCAAGAAGATGTGGTTTATCTATACCATGGAATACTACATGGCAGTGAGAAACAATGAAATCTGGCCATGTGTAGCAACATGGATGGACCTTGAGGGTGTTATGCTGAGCGAAATAAGTCAGGCAGAGAAGGACAAATATCATATGTTTGCACGTATAGGAGGATTAGGAGGAACTTGACGGAGGACCAAGGGGGAGAAGAAGGGCGGAAATGGTGGGGGAAAGGGAGAAGGCAAACCATGAGAGACTCTTGAATGCTGACAAAAACTGAGGACTGATGGATGTGGGGGGGAGGGGGGGATGGGCATGAAGGAGGGCACTTTGGGGATGAGCACTGAGTGTTATGTAGAAACTAATTTGACAATAAACTATTTGTAAAAAAAAAAAAAAAAGAAGATGTGGTTTATCTATACAATGGAATACTACATGGCAATTAGAAAGAATGACATCTGGCCATTTGTAGCAATGTGGATGGAACTTGAGGGTGTTAGGCTGAGTGAAATAAGTCAGGCAGAGAATGATACCATATGTTTTCACTCATATCTGGAACAGGAGAAACTTATCAGGACTATATGGGAGGGGAAGGGAAAATAGTGAAGGACAGGGAGGGAGGCAAATCATAAGATACTCTTAAATACTGAGAACAAACTGAGGGTTGATGGTTGGTGGGGGAGAGAGGAAAATGGATGATGAGCATGGAGGAGGGCACTTGTTGGGATGAGCAGTGGGTGGTATATGGAAACCAACTTGACAATAAAGTAACAAAAAATGACTAACTGAGCTATACCTGAAAAAAATTTTTTAAAAAATGTAACTGTTTCCAATACTGCATTTTGAATATGACTGTAATACTGTATCCCATAAAAATTCATGGGGATTAATCTATTGGTGTATAGGCTAGGCTACTGTGAAGCAACTTTATTGATTACACTAGGCTACCATATAGCAGCCATATTGCCACTTCATTATCAATGCACGGATTGTTATACCTGTAAGTAAATATGAATTTCAGTTTCATATTATGTTTCTATTTTTGATATTGTTACTCATACGTATACAATATCTATAGTGTTTTGTATCATATAAAACAACATTGACAGGTACTGACAGATGATTTATCTTGTCAACAGATGACATAAACTTGTGGGATTGAAAAACAGTACAGTACTATGAATGTATTTTCTTTTCCTTATGATTTTATTAACATTTCTCTAGCTCACTCTGTTGTAAAAGTACAGTATATAATATGCATAATATGCAAAATATCTGTTAGTTGACTGTGTTATTACTGAGGATTTTGGTCAACAGTAAGCTATTAGTACTTAAGTTTTTGGGTAGTCAAAAGTTATACGTGGTTTTCAACTGCATGGTGGGTTGGTGCTCTTAATCCCTGCATTGTTCAAGGGTCAGCTGTGCTCGAAGTTCAAAAATTATTTCAGCCTGATTTTCTTTTAGTACTTTGAAGTATAGTTAAATTTAATAATATAAAAAAATGGCATATATAGATAGCATGGTCTTATTTTTTTCTGAATTTCTTTTCTGTCATTCTATTTGTCTAAGTACATATAAAGATATGTACTTAGATATGAAGATATAATGATAGCTTAGTATTTTAATGATCATTTTAGTTAATTTTGGATTTGCAGCGATTTTTAATAGTTACGGTCTTTCTACATTTCTGTATTGTTTAAGTTTTTATACCAATGGAGAGTTTTGTTTTTCTAAAAAATAAAAACTGTACACATATATGTGAAGATATTAGCAGTGGTTAACTCTAGGTAGGAGGAGGTTTGTATGTGATTATAATTTTTTTCCTTCATTTCCTTTAAAAAATTCTTTTGTTTAAATTGAAAATAAAAAAGAAGGAAACAAAAAATACTTGAATATTTCAGAGCACATTAAGCCAAATTGGAGAGGATAGTTGCTCTGGTTCATAATATGACATATGGCATGTAATATAATTTATCCAGATCTGAGAAGTGATGATTTAGGAGTTGGTAATCCACTTGTGAAAAGGATAATCCTTAGAAGTAGTAATAATATTACTTTTTTTTTTTTTTTTTTTTTTAGAGAGAGAGAGTGCAAGTAGGGGAGAAGGGCGGAGGGAGGGAGACAGAGAGAGAGAGGGAGAGAGAGAGAGAGAAAGAGAATCTTAAGCAGGCTCCATGCTCAGTACAGGGTTCCGTGCAGTGCTTGATCCCATGACCCTGGGATCGTAACCTGAGCTGAAATCAAGAATCAGATGTTCAATTGAAGAGCCCCCAGGATCCTCAGTGGTAATAATATTAATGTGGAATTGAAATACATGCATTTTCATGGTGTATTTAGGGGATAACATATTTTTAAAATTATCACTTTGTGCCAGGACCAAATAACCTTATGAAAATTGTGCTGAGAATGATATATAGAAGCATACTGAGGAAACAAAGTAGTAATGGTTTTGGCACTGTTTTTAGTAGAAAGGAATTATGCTGTGTGTGAAATAACGAGTAGATTTCTCATTTCCTGAGGATTTCATGAACTAAGGTCATAATAAACAGTTATTTTTTCCCCTCTGCATTATGAAAAAAGTAGTTTGAAAAAAGCTGGAAACTGTTAAAATAAATGTGGCTTTATTTTAAATAAACAATTTTTAAATTAACAATTTTTAAAAAAAATTGTTGGGTTAAAAATTAGAAAAAAACAGGGGCGCCTGGGTGGCTTAGTCGGTTAAGCGTCCGACTTTCGCTTGGGTCACGATCTTGCGGTTCGTGGGTTCGAGCCNTTTTTTAGAGAGAGAGAGTGCAAGTAGGGGAGAAGGGCGGAGGGAGGGAGACAGAGAGAGAGAGGGAGAGAGAGAGAGAGAAAGAGAATCTTAAGCAGGCTCCATGCTCAGTACAGGGTTCCGTGCAGTGCTTGATCCCATGACCCTGGGATCGTAACCTGAGCTGAAATCAAGAATCAGATGTTCAATTGAAGAGCCCCCAGGATCCTCAGTGGTAATAATATTAATGTGGAATTGAAATACATGCATTTTCATGGTGTATTTAGGGGATAACATATTTTTAAAATTATCACTTTGTGCCAGGACCAAATAACCTTATGAAAATTGTGCTGAGAATGATATATAGAAGCATACTGAGGAAACAAAGTAGTAATGGTTTTGGCACTGTTTTTAGTAGAAAGGAATTATGCTGTGTGTGAAATAACGAGTAGATTTCTCATTTCCTGAGGATTTCATGAACTAAGGTCATAATAAACAGTTATTTTTTCCCCTCTGCATTATGAAAAAAGTAGTTTGAAAAAAGCTGGAAACTGTTAAAATAAATGTGGCTTTATTTTAAATAAACAATTTTTAAATTAACAATTTTTAAAAAAAATTGTTGGGTTAAAAATTAGAAAAAAACAGGGGCGCCTGGGTGGCTTAGTCGGTTAAGCGTCCGACTTTCGCTTGGGTCACGATCTTGCGGTTCGTGGGTTCGAGCCCCGCGTCGGGCTCTGTGCTGACTGCCAGCTCAGAGCCTGGAGCCTGTTTCAGAGTCTATGTCTCCCTCTCTCTCTGACCCTCCCCTGCTCACGCTGTCTCTCTCTCTCTCCTAGAAATAAATAAAAATATTAAAAAAAAATTAGAAAAAAACAATATAGTGATAATACAAAGATTTTCGTTTTGACTTTCTGAAAGGGAGGCTGGGTATAATTATAGACTAAGAAAAGAGTGAATGTAATACAAATAGTTTAATAACAGAAAGTGTTACTGTTATTCACTAGTTTTTGTCTCTCTCCCTTCCCTCAACTCTCTTCCAGACTCACCAATCTAAAGAAGATGGAATTTATGTTTTTCAGCCCCACAGTCAGCCAGTTAGTTGTCTTTACTTCTCACCTGCCAATCCGGCTCACATACTGTCACTGAGCTATGATGGCACATTACGCTGTGGGGATTTTACAAGGGCTATTTTTGAAGAGGTAAATGTTAATGTGTTTACATGTTGACTTGAGAGGATATTATGGATTCTTTATGAAATGACACATGAATAATTATTATACCAATCAGAATAGGTGAAGTGGTATAGAGTAGGAACTTTAGAACTACACTGCTTAAGTTTGAATCCCGGACTGTCTGTTACTACTTGTATGACCTTGGAAGTTTTTTAACTTATTTGTGCTTCAGTTTCCTTAGTTGTGAAATGGGATAGTTACGAATACCTACCTAATAGGGTTGTCATGAGGGTTGAATGATTTAATTTAGACAAGGTGGTTAGAATTCAGCCAGGCACTTAAGTACTTGCTCTCAATTATTTTTTAATTTTTGCAAAAAGATTTTATTTTGTATTGCTGTATTTTGATTCAAGTATAGTGGACACACAATGTTACATTAGTTTTAGGTGTATAACATAGTGATTCAACAATTGTGTACATTATGCTATGCTCACCACAATATTAGATAGATACCATCTGTCAGCATGCAAAGCTATTACAGTACCATTGACTATATTCTCTGTGCTGTACATTTTATCCCTTTTTAGTCCCATATTCATGCCATTACTAGAAGCCTGTATGTGCCATTCCCCTTCATCTATTTTGTCTTTTTCTCATCCCCACCCCAGCCCTCTGGCAACCACCAGTTTGTTCTCTGGGTCTGTTTATGTTTTGTTTTGTTTTGTTTTGTTTTGTTTTGTTTTTTAGATTCCATATAAGTTAAATCATACATTGTCTTTCTCTGACTTAATTCACTTAGCATAATATCCTCTGGGTTCATCTATGTTCATTATGTTTTCACAAATGGCAAGATCTCATTCTTTTTTATGGCTAATATTGTGTTGTGTGTGTGTGTGTGTGTGTGTGTGTTTGTGTGTGTGTGTGTGTACCACATCTTGTTTATTCATTCATATATCATTGGACTTTTAGGTTGGTTACATATATTTGCTATTGTAAATAATGCTTCAGTGAACACAAGGGCACATAAATCTTTTCAAATTAGTGAAAAACATTTTTTAATGTTTATTTATTTAGAGACAAAGCTGTGCGTAAACTGGGGAGGGGCAGAGAGAAAGAGAGAGAATCCCAAGCCATCTCCGTGCTGGCATTACAGAGCCTGCTGTGGGGCTTAATTTCATGAACCATAAGATCATGATCTGAGCTGACTTAACCAATTGAGCCACCCAGGCACCCCATTGAATTAGCATTTTCATTTTCTTTGGGTAAATCTTAGTAGAATTACTGGATCATAGGGTTTTTTTCTATTTTTACTTTTTTTGAGGAAACTGCATGCTGACTATTACAATGGCTGTACTAATTTACATTCCTACCAACTGTGCACAAGGGTCCCTTTTCTCCACATCCTTGCCAATACTTGTTATTTCTTGTATTTTTGATAGTAGTCATTCTAACAGGTGTAAGGTGCTATCTCATTGTGATTTTGATTTGCATTTCCCCAATAATGATGTTGAGCATCTTTTCATAGGTCTGTTGGCTATCTCCATGTCTTTGGAAAAGTGTCTGTTTATATGTCCTCTGCCCATTTTTATTTTATTTTATTTTTTTTTAAATGTTTTATTTATTTCTAGGAGAGAGACAGCATGAGTAGGGGAGGGTCAGAGAGAGAGGGAGTCACAGACTCTGAAACAGGCTCCAGGCTCTGAGCTGGCAGTCAGCACAGAGCCCGACGCGTGGCTCGAACCCACGAACCGTGAGATCATGACCTAAGCGAAAGTCGGACGCTCAACCAACTAAGCCACCCAGGCGCCTCCCTCTGCCCATTTTTAATTGGATTGCTTGGAGTAGTTTTTGGGTGTTTATTATATATTTTGGATATTAACCCTTTATCAGATATACTATCTGCAAATATCTTCTCCTATTCAGTAGGTTGCCTTTTCATTTTTTTGGATTTCCTTTGCTGTACAAAAACTTTTTATTTTGATGTAGACCTGATACTTTTGCTTTTGTTTCCCTTATCATAGGAGACATACCTAGAAAAATATTGCTGAGTCTGGTGTCAGAGAGATTGCTTCCTTGTGTTTAAAAAAAAATTTTTTTTAAATGTTTGTTTATTTATTTATTTATTTTTTTTAATTTTTTTAATGTTTTTATTTATTTCTAGGAGAGAGAGAGAGACAGCGTGAGCAGGGGAGGGTCAGAGAGAGAGGGAGTCACAGACTCTGAAACAGGCTCCAGGCTCTGGGCTGGCAGTCAGCACAGAGCCCGATGCGGGGCTCAAACCCACGAACCGTGAGATCATAACCTAAGCGAAAGTCGGACACTTAACCGACTAAGCCACCCAGGCGCCCCATAAATGTTTATTTATTTTTGAGACAGAGACAGAGCAGTAGAGAAAGAGAGGGAGACACAGAATCTGGAGCAGGCTCCAGGCGCCAAGCTGTCAGCACAGAGCCTGATGCATGGCTTGAACACACAAATCGTGAGATCATGATCTGAGCTGAAGTCGGACGCTTAACTGACTGAGCCACCCAAGTACCCCCTTTGTGTTTTCTTTTAGGAGTTGTATGGTTTCAGATCTCACATTTAAGTCTTTAATACATTTTGAGTTTATTATTTTTAAATTAATTAATTTATTTTAAAAGTAAGCTCTACAGGCACTATGGGGCTTGAACTCATGACCCCAAGATTAAGAGTAGTGTTCTTTACCCAATTGAGCCAGCCAGACATCCCCACTTTGGGTTTATTTTTGTGTATGGTGTCAGAAAATGGTCTAATTTCTTATTTTTCATGTAGCTGTTCAGTTTTCCCAGCACCATTTATTGAAGAGACTATCTTCCCCATTGTGTATTCTTCCCTCGTTTGTTACAGACTAATTGACCATATAAGCATGGGTTTGTTTCTGGGCTCTCTATTCTGCTCCATTGATTTATTTTTGTCCCAGTACCATACTGTTTTGATTGTTATAGCTTTGTAATATATCTTGAAATCTGGGATTGTGATACACCCATCTTTGTTCTTTTTCAAGATTGCTTTGCCTATTCAGGTTCTTTTAGGGTTCTGTGCCAGTTTTAGGATTATTTGTTCTAGTTCTGTTAAAAATGCTATTGGTATGTTGATAGGGATTGCACTGAATCTGTAAATTGCTTTGATTAGTATGGACATTTTAATAGTATTGATTCTTTCAGTCCATGAGTATGGTGGATCTTTCCACTTGTTTATCTTCAATATCTCTTATTATTGTTTTACAGTTTTCAGAGTACAAGTCTTTACCTCCTTGGTTAAATTTATTCCCAAGTATTCTTTTTGGTGCAAGTATAAGTGGAATTGTTTTCTTTTTAAACATTTGTTTTTCAGTTTTATTTATTTGAGAGAGAGACAGTGTGAGTAGGAGAGGGGCAGAGAGAGAGGGAGAAAGAGAGAATCCCATGCAGGCTCCACCCGATGTGGAGCTCGAATTCATGAACTGTGAGATCATGTGAGATCATGACCTGAGCCAAAATCAAGAGTTGGTCGCTTAACCTACTGAGCCACCCACGTGCTTCAAATGGAATTATTTTCTTAACTTCTCCTTCTTCTAATTTGGTATTATTAGTGTATGGAAATGCAAGAGATTTCTGTATATTAATTTTGTGTCCTGTAACTTTCCTGAACTCCTTTATTAACACTTTTTTGGTATTTAGGGCTTTCTGTGGATGGCATCATGTCATCAAACAGTGACAGTTTTATGTTCTCCTTACCAATTTGGATGCCCTTTATTTCTTTTTGTCTGGTTGTTGTGGCTAGGATTTCCAGTACTATGTTGAATAAAACTGATTAGAGTGAACATCTTTGCTTGTTCCTAATCTTAGAGGAAAAACTCAAATTTTTACCATTGAGGGTGATATTAGGTGTGTGTTTGTTATATATGGGCTTTATCATGTTGAGGTATGTTCTCTCTAAACCCACTTAGTTGAGAATTTTTATCGTGAATGGATGTTGAATTTTATCCAGTGCTTTTTCTCCATCTCTTGAGATGATCATATGATTTTTTTATCCTTTATCTTGTTAATGTTTATTATGTTGATTGGTTTGCAGATAGTGAACCATCCTTGCATTCCCTGCATAAATCCCATTTGATTGTGGTAAATGATCCTTGTAATGTACTGTTTAATGTGGTTTACTACTATTTTGTTGGGGGCTCTTTGTATCTATGTTCATCAGGAATATTGGACTGCAGTTTTCTTTCTGTAGTGTTTTGGTTTTGCTGACTTCATAGAATGTATATGGAAGCTTTCCTTCCTCTTCTCTTTTAGCACAGTTTGAGGAGAAAAGGTATTAACTTTTCTTTAAATGTTTGGTAGAACTCGGGGGTGCCTAGGTGGCTCAGTCATTTAAACATCTGTCTCTTGATTTCAGCTCAGGTCATGACCTCATGGTTGGTGAGATTGAGCCCTGTGTCAGGCTTTGCACCGACAGCACAGAGCCTGCTTGGGGTTTTCTCTCTTCCTCTCTCTCTGCCCACTTGTGCATGTGCATACATACTCTCTCTCAAAATAAATAAGTAAACATTAAAAAAATAAATGTTTGGTAGAATTCATCTGTAAATCGACCTGGTCCTGAACTTCTGTTTGTTGAGAGTTTTTTGAATACTGATTCAATTTCATTACTAGTAATTGGTCTGTTCAGATTTTTCTATTTCTTCCTGATTCAGTTTAGGAAAATTATGTTTCTAGAAATTTAGTCATTTCTTCTAAGTTGTCTGATTTTTTGACATATAATTTTTTTTTAGTAGTCTCTTATGGTTCTTTGTATTTCTGTGGTGTCTGTTGTTACTTCTCTTTTATTTGTGGTTTTATTTATTTAAATGCTGTCTTTTTCTCTTGATGAGCCAGGCTAAAGGTTTGTCAATTTATATATCTTTTCAAAGAACCATCTCTTGGCTTCATTGATCTTTTTTTTTTAAGTATGTATTAATTTTTTTCCAGTCTCATCTTTTTTTTCTCCTTCTTTTTATTGAGGCTTTGGCTTTGTGTGTCTTCTTTTTCTAGTTCCTTTAGGAATAATGTTAGATAGTTTATTCAAGATTTTTCTTGTTTCTTAAGGTAGGCTTGTAGTGCTATAAATTTACCTCCTAGAACAGCTTTTGCTGTTATCTCAGAGATATTGGACTATTGTGTTTTCATTTGTTTCCATGTATGTTTTATTTCCTCTTTGATTTCTTCATTGATTCATTGATTGGTTAGTAGCATGTTGTTTAGCTTCTGTGTGTTTGTGTTCTTTTTAGTTATTTTTCTTAAAATTAATAGTTTCATACTGTCAGAAAAGATGCTTGATATTTCAGTTTTCTTATATTTATTGAGTGTTGTTTTGTGTCCTAACTTGATCTATCCCGGAGATGTTGCATGTGTACTTGAAAAATATGTGTGTTCTGTTGGTTTTAGGCAAAGTGTTTTGTATACATCTATTAAGTCAATCTGGTCTAATGAATGTACTGTTCCAAGACACAGTTTCCTTACTGATTTTCTGCCCAGATGATTTATCCATTGGTGTAAAGTGGGGTGTTAAAAAGTCTCCTACTATTATTGTATTGCTGTCCATTTCTCCTTTTAAGTCTGTTGATACTTGCTTTATGTGTTTAGGTGCTCCAGTGCTGGATACATAGATATTTACGACTGTTATATTCTTTTGTTGGGTTGATCCCTTTGTCATTGTGTAATACCCTTCTTTGTCTCTTATTACAATATTTTATTTTCGTTTTTGAGAGACAGCATGCGAGTGGGGGAGAAGGGCGGAGGGGGATGGAAAGGGAGAATCCTAAGCAGACTCCATGCTCAAGTGTGGATGACAACCTGAGCCAAAATCTAGAGTTGGATGTTCAACTGACTGAGCTTCCTGGGAACCCCACAGTTTTGTTTTAAAGTCTATTTTGGCTGATAGAAGTATTGCTACACTGGCTTTTTTTCCCCCTTTCCATTTGCATGGAATGTCTTTTGCTGTCCCTTCACTTTTAGTCTGTATGTGTCCTTAGGTCTGAAGTGAGTCTCTTGTAGGCAGCATATAGGTGGGTCTTGTTGTTTTTTTTTTTTTAATATTTTTTATTTATTTCTAGGAGAGAGAGAGAGACAGCATGAGCAGGGGAGGGTCAGAGAGAGAGGGAGACACAGACTCTGAAATGGGTTCCAGGCTCTGAGCTGGCAGTCAGCACAGAGCCCGACACGGGGCTCGAACCCACGAACCGCGAGATCATGACCTAAGCGAAAGTTGGACGTTTAACTGACTAAGCCACCCAGGCGCCCCGGGTCTTGTTTTTTTCATCCATTCATTTACCTTGTATCTTTTGATTGGAGCACTTAGACCATTTACATTTAAAATAATTATTGTAGGGGCGCCTGGGTGGCTTAGTCGGTTAAGCGTCCGACTTTCCGACTTTCGCTTAGGTCATGATCTCGCGGTTCGTGGGTTCGAGCCCCGCGTCAGGCTCTGTGCTGACTGCCAGCTTGGAGCCTGGAGCCTGTTTCAGAGTCTGTGACTCCCTCTCTCTCTGACCCTCCCCTGCTCACGCTGATTCTCTCTCCTAGAAATAAATAAAAAACATTAAAAAAAAAAATAAAAAAAAAATAAAATAATTATTGTAGGGGGGGGTGCCCAGGCTAACACCTGTAAGGTCAAATTAAGTTGAAGTCTATTTAAGAATAGTTGAAAGATTGGGGTGCCTGGGTGGCTTAGTTGGTTAAGTATCCAACTTCAGCTCAAGTCATGTTCTCATGGTTTGTGAGTTAAAGCCCAACATTGGGCTCTCTGCTGTCAGCATGGAGCCTGCTTTGGATCCTTTGTCACCCACTCTCTCTGCCCCTCCCCTACTCATACTCTGTTTTCTCTCAAAAATAAATAAACATTAAAAAAAAAAAAAAGAATAGTTGAAGATCTTGGGCTCATACTCAGGACCACCATTCTCCCAGAGACATTCTACCTTGATGACCTAGAAACCCTGGAGGTTTCTAATCAATTTGTTCTCTGACACAATGCACCAGAAGCTTCCAAAGGCCTGAGGAATCCATTAATATTATCCCAGTGATTACATTTTAGTTTACTACTTAAATATCTACTACTTAATCCTTACAATATTCATACTATTTGAAGTAAGCTTTCAAATTTGCTTAACTGTATTAAATGTTCTTAATAATTCTTACAGATCAAACTTTTTTTTAATAATATGGATTTTAATCTTTGTGAAGCTTAGGATGATTTAGATGTAGGTTTTTATCCTTTATCTTATTTTGAGTGTGACTTTTAAAATTTCTTGAAGTCCTCAGTATAAGAGCAATTTATATGTGATAGACAGTGAAGAGAACAAGACCATCACTAAAGTTGCTTTGTAAATACTAATTGATGGTCTAATTTATGCCTTAATTTTTTACTTAAGAGATAATTTTTGTGAAAAGTGTTCTTTAAATTGTTTAATGGTTATTAAGGTACAATCATGTAGTTATCTATGCACTTTGATTATTAAGGTACAGTCATGTAGTTATCTATGCAAGTCATGTTCTGTTTTGTATTTCTCTTTATTCTTACAAGAAGGATGGAGTTTGAAATTTAAAGGTTTGTGTGTGTGTGTGTGTATATCATATCAGTCACTTAATAATAACTATACTTAATTTTTTAAATAGGTTTACTGACGTAATTTACATACCATACAATTGACCCACTTAAAGTATAAAATCCAGTGGTTTTTAGTATATTTACACAGTTATGAAACCATTATCAGAGTCTAGTTTTAAAATATTTCATCACTCCGGAAAGAAACCCCCTTCCCATTAGCAGGTAGTCCCAATTTTGTCTCCCCCAAACAGCCCTAGACAACCATCAATCTACTATTTATAGATTTGCCTATTCTGGATATTTCATATAAATGGAGTCATACAATTTGTAGTCTTTTGTGACTAGATTCTTTTACATAACAATGTTTTCAAGGTTCATCCATGTTGTAGAATGTGTCATTACTTCATTCCTTTTTATGGCTGAATAATATTTCACTGTATGGATATACCACATTTTCATCATTTGGGTTGTTTCCTTTTTTTTTTACTATTGAAAATAATGTTATTATGAACATTCATTTATAGCTTTTGTGTAAACATATGCTTTCATTTCTCTTGAGTATATACCTAGGAGTGGAGTTGCTGGGGCAAATGGTAGCTCTGTGTTTAACATTTTGAGGAACTATCAAATTGTTTTCCAAACTGGCTCCACCATTTTACATACTCATCAACAATATATGAGTGTTTCAGTTTTTCCATATCTTTCCAACACTTATTGTTGGTTACCATAGCCATTCTAATGAGTATGAAGTCCTATGTCATTATGGTTGTGATTCTTATTTCCCTAATGATTAATGATGCTGAGTGTCTTTTTATCCGCTTATTGGCCATTTGTAGTTCTTTAGAGAAATCTTGATTTCTCTAAATATTGGATTCTTTGCATAATTTTTAATTGGATTATCTTTTTGGTATTGAGTTGTATGATTTCTCCATATACATACACACACACACACACATATATGTATACACACACATATATATATAATTTATTTTGAGAGAGACAAAGCATGGTGGCGGAGGGGCAGAGAGAGAGAGAGAGTGTCTCACACCTGATCAGTGCCTTTGTTTCTCTCTCTGTAAAATGGGGTGATCATTTTGCTCAGTGTGTTTTGTGGGATGATGGAAAGATAAATGAGATTGTTAGGTAAAGCATTTTATAGATCTTTACCAAAGAATTTATGTGTCAGTTTTCTTTAAAAAGAAGAGTGTTGTATAAGTTGATTGTTACTTGTATCCTTAGGTATGTAGAGATGAAAGAAGTAGCTTTTCCTCCTTTGACTTCTTGGGACAAGATGCCTCCACTTTAATAGTAGGACACTGGAATGGAAATATATCGCTAGTGGATAGACGGACACCTGGAACTTCTTATGAGAAGCTTATCAATTCTTCTTTGAGAAAAATAAGAACTGTTCATGTTCACCCAGTGCATAGACAGTATTTTATCGCTGCAGGATTGAGGTATGTTCTTCATAAAGTTTTGTGGTTTAGGCCTTTTAAAGTTAGAATACTGCTTTAGTTTGGACGTCAAAGACCTCCGACTTTTGTGATACTCCACATAGTGAAATAATTTTTCTTTTTACACCAATTGAGGTTTTATCGAGTGTTTTTTTTTTAAAAAGAGAGATTCTTTTGGATTTAATAAATAGTGAAAATATTAAACCAAAACCTGTTTTTGTTTTCCTTGGCATCATATGCATTTACTTTAGTCTTTTGAGAAGAAAACTTGGAAAAAAATTATGTGACATATAACTTGTTTGTGTTCATTTTTTTCTCAGAGACATTGGAAAACCAAATAGAATCTTGTCTCTCTGTATGCACTGTTTTCATATATATGCTGGAGTTTTGTAATTATTCTAATATTTCATTTTTTATCTACGTAGTGTTTGTAAAATTATTACAGATTAGAGTGTTCTTTCTTAATTCTTCAGTTTCATGAGTATTTGTCTAATTTATGTTCAGCACTGTTCAAGAGCTCACTACATGTATCTTGGTAAAACTGAGAATTATTCTCCCCTTACAGGGATATTCATATTTATGATGCAAGGCGCCTGAATCCCAGGGGAAGCCAGCCTTTGATTTCTTTGACTGAACACACAAAAAGCATCGCTTCTGCCTATTTTTCACCTCTTACTGGTAACAGAGTAGTGACCACATGTGCTGATTGTAAACTGAGGTAAATTGGGGAGATAGAAATGTGTTGTTAAGGAATCTAAAGAGTCTGTAGCTACTGTGTCAGTCAGCCGGTAGTTTTCTTTACTACTGCTCCCTATTAGATTGCTAGTATTATTGTTTTGTAGCATTTCTCTGTTCCTAGCCAGAGCAATAATCTGTGTTTAATGGCTTTTCAGAAGTTTTTGGGTCTGGAAATTTCCTTGAGATCACCAGGAAAGGTCTATAGCTACTCTAGAAAGTAGATGTCAGGTTTTCCTTTGAGCCCTGAGCAATCCCAGAAGTTCCAATAAAACCAGGCTGTAATATGTTGGTAGAAAGATAATTTTAGCATAGGGATAAACTCTTATGTTGGGGAGAGTGGGGTCTGCCTTACACGTGAAGTGCTGAGTAGAAGTTATAGAGTCCAAGACCACGGACAGGCAGGAAAGACAGCAAAAATTGGGCTTCTCTACAAACTACTGGTTACAGTTTTATGGTTTTAGGTTTGGTAACTTCTAATAGCTACTTCCTAAAAATGGCTTTAAAAATGAAATGTAAACCAATTCAACCAAAACTAGAAGATAGTGCCAATAAAAAAGATGTGGAGAATATTAATGCAGCCACAAAGGAAATTATTTTGTTCTCTCTGTAATCCCTGTTTTTGCTTAGCTTTGTAAGCATTTATCATTTTATGAGAGTTTTTACCTTAAGTGATTCTGGAATTCATTGGCCTAATAGTAGGACACTGAATGGAAATATATCACTGGTGGATAGAGTATTTGTTGAATGTATCTATTGAATATATATTGTGGGCCAAGTTTTAGAAAGGCATCTGATTTCTGCTGGACCCTTCTATTGGAAGAGCATGGTTTTTGGTTTGTGACAAGTGCCCAGTTAGTTTCTAGTAAAGTCTGTGAGCATTAGCCAGGTGGGTACATTAAGAAATTTAGTCACCAGGCAGTGGCAGCCCAGTGTCTCTTTTCTACCCATACAGTTTTCTTTGTCTCAGAAGCTACCTATTTTTCCCATTCCTGTTCATTTGCACTGTAGAGTTTACATTAGGTGTTAGTGATTTGGCTTTCTGATCATCTAATTAGGCAATAAGCTCTAGTGCCAAGGAACTGCACTGGAATAGCTAGGTGCAAGAAGAAGGGAGAGGTGGTGTGATGTGGTTAGTTTCTTTCTGCTAGGGTACCTGGTGGAGGCTTCTGTACTTCTTGGTCAGTCATAGTCTTGTCAGCATCTGGAAATGACATTGTTCAGTCCCTCAACTAATGAGTCTCATGAGGAAGTTGCTCTTGGTACGTGCATGCACTTTTAGGTTATTTGTACATTTTCAGATCATATCCCTTTATATATGATCTTTATTACTGTGAATCTGAATAGATTTTACCAGATTATCACTTAAATGTGCATTTCATATTTGGGGTAATAGCATTTAAATAAATTATTTCTAAACTATAAAGCACTGACTTTTGTAATATTTCTTATAATTTTTGTTAAAGCCTGATCCTATATATTTTAAAATAGCAATCAGATTTCGTATCATGAACCAATGAAAAGTGTGTTAAGTACACTGATGCTCTTTAAGAAAATTTTTAAGAAACAGTAAAAAGGGTATTACTTTATTCTTGATCTTTATTTTGCAGAATCTTTGACAGCAGCTCTATATCCTCTCAGATTCCTCTGCTCACTACCATCAGGTAGGTTTCCATGTGCTGAATATTGTAGACCCTGGATTGCTTTTAGCTATTTGGAGTACATACATTAGACATCTGATTATCAAAGAGATGTAATAAGTCTGATTTTTGTATTACATTAAGTGTCCCAGGTGGCTAGTTCCTATCCTGTTTAGCTGTGTTCTTGCTTCCAGGTTCCCTGTATCTTTAAAGAGGTTCAGTCTCTTAGTCTGTAGCTATTGTCTGCAGCTGGGTAGTTATATTTGGTTAAGGTGGATGACTGTGTTCCAACTCGAATTATTCATGTTATCTTATTAAAGAAGATTTGTAACTACTTATCTGCTGTGAGGCCAGCTGAAGCTCTCTTTGTACCTATTTGTTTTGGGCTTATATGGTTTCCCCACCTTCCCACTTACTTTTTTTGGTTACCTTCTTTTTTGCATCTGCTACTTTTAATATATGTACAGTATCCAACTTTCATCAATGCCTTCTTCCTAGATGTCCCTCTTTATGAGATTTATCAAGTTAGGAATAGGGTATGCAATATGTTGATTATTGCTTCATGCATTTTATAGTCTGTGGAGGCTACATTTAAGTGTTTGTTTTCTTTCTCATAAATTGTCCCTCTTCATTTCCTTTTTCAAATTTCATGCCCATTGAACATTGATTCTTCCTTCTCCCTTCCTTCCAGACCTTGGCAACCACCTTTCTACTTTACGCTTGGTAGGAGTACTTTTAACTACTTTAGATACTTCATATGAGTAGAATCATAGTACTTTTCATTTTGTGACTAGCATATTTCACTTGACGTCATGTGTTATGATGTCATGTTCTATCATGTGACAGGATCTCCTCCTTTTTTAAAGCTGCATAATATTGTACGTGTATTCCACATTTTCTTTATCCCATTTATCTGTCAATGGACATTTGGTTTGTTTCTACCTTTTGGCTATTGTAAATGCTCCAGTGAACATGGGTGTGCAAATATCTCTTCAAGGTCCTTTGAATTTTTTTGGATATATAACCCACAAGGAGGAGTTTTTTAAATTCTTTGAGGAATTTCCATATTTTCTATAGGGGCTGTACCATTTTAGTTTCTGGTACTACCAGCAGTACACCAGGGTTCTAATTTCTCTTGTGTATTCATCACTTGTTTTCTGCTTTTTTAAAAAAAAATATTTATTTTGAGAGAGGGAGAGAGAGGAGAGGAAGAATCTTAAGCAGGCTCTGCACCATCAGTGTGGATCCGGATGTGGGGCTTGAACTCACGAACCCATGAGATCATGACCTTATCTGAAGTCAATAGTCAATAGACACTTAAGGGGCTCCTGGGTGGCTCAGTTGGTTAAGCATCCAACTTTGGCTCAGGTCATGATCTCATGGTTCATAGGTTCAAGCCCCATGTCAGGCTCTGTGCTGATGGCTCAGAGCCTGGAGCCTACTTCAGATTTTGTGTCTCCCTCTCATTCTCTCTGCCACTCCCCTGCTTGCTCTCTTTGTCTCTCTCTCTCTCAAAAATAAATAAACATTAAAAAAAAGAGACATTTAACCAACTGAGCCACCCAGGTGCCCTTCACTTGTTTTCTGCTCTTTTTTGTTAGTGATTATCTAAATGGGTGTGAGATACTATATCACTGTGGTTTTGATTTGCATTCCTCTAATGATTAGTGATGTTGAACATCTTCTCATACGCTTTTGGCCATTTATATATCTTCTTTGTAGAACTGTCTATTCAAGTCTTGCCCTTTTTTGAAATGGGTCATTTTTGTTTTGAATTTTAAAAAAAAATTTATTATTTTGAGAAAGAGAGAGGGAGAGTGAACAGGGGAGGGGCAGAGAGAGGGGAGGCACAGAATCGGAAGCAGGCTCAGGCTCTGGGCTGTCAGCACAGAGCCTGATGTGGGGCTCGAACCCACAAACTGAGATGATGACCTGAGCTAAAGTCAGACGCTCAACCAAATGAGCCACCCAGGCACCCCTTTTTTGAGTTATAGGAGTTCCTTACATATTATGCATATTAACTCCTTATCAAATATATGATTTGCAAATATTTTCCACTAATTTATATGTTGCTTTTCATTCTGTTGACTGTATCCTTTGTTGCACAGTTTTTGAGACTAATATAGTCCTATTTGTCTGTTTTTTGCTTTTCATGTCATATCCAAGAAATCATTGCCGAATCCAATGTCCTGAAGTTTTATCACTTTATTTTTTTCTAGGAGTTTTGTTTCAGGTCTTATGTTTAGGTATTTAATCCACTTTGAGTTATTTTTCTGTATATGGTGTAAGATTACTGTCTAACTTTGTTTTTTATATGTGGATATCCAGTTTTCCCAGTACCGTTTGTTGAAGAGATTGCCCTTTCCTTATTGTGTGGTCTTGGCACCCTTGTTGAAGGTCATTTGATCATATACATGAGGGTTTATTTCTGGGCTCTCTGTTAGATTGGACTCTATGTTTTTTTTGCCAGTACCATTCTGTCTTAATTACTGTTGCTTTGTAGTGTATTTTGAAATCAGGAAGTGTGAGGCCCCCAACTTAAAAAAATCTTTTTTTAAAGATTGTTTTGGCCATTTGTGGTCCTTTGAGCTTACGTATCAATTTTAAGATTTGTTTTCTATTTCTATAAAAAATTGCCATTGGGACTTTGATAGGGATTGCATTGAATTCATAGATCAGTTTGAATAGTTATGGATGTTTCTTTTTTTTTTTTTTTTTATAAATCAACTTTTCTTTTAATGTTTATTTCTGAGAGAGAGAGAGACAGCCTGAGCAGGGGAGGGTCAGAGAGAAAGGGAGACACAGAATCTGAAACAGCCTCCAGGCTCTGGGCTGGCTGTCAGCACAGAGCCCGACGTGGGGCTCGAACCCACGAACCGTGAGATCATGACCTGAGCTGAAGTCTGACACTTAATCGACTGGGCCACCCAGGCACCCCTAGTTATGGATGTTTCAACAATATTAAATCTTCCAATTTATGGACATGATGCCTTTTTATTTATTTGTGCCTTCTTTGTTTTTGTCATGTTTTGTTTTCAGTGCACAGATTTTTCACTTCTTGGGTTAAATTTATTCCTATATTTTATTCTTTTTTGTAAGTGGGATTGTTTTCTTAATTTCCTTTCCAGATTGTTCATTGTCAATGTGTAGAAATGCAGTTGTTTTTTGTGCATTTATTTTTGTATCCTACAAGTTTGCTGAAATTGTTTTAGGTTACCAGTTTTTTATTTTAGTGTGGAGTCTTAGAATTTTCTACATATAAGATCATGTCATGCTAACAGATAATTATACTTCTTCATTTCTCGTTGGGGTGCCTTTTATTTTATTTTTTTTGCCTAATTGATTATCACATGACTGTTTAGAATGTCTGTCTTGTTGAATGCTTGTTGGTGTAATGGTGATGGCTCACAGGTAGGATATGGCTGCCTGTACAGTGTGAACACCTGGCATTTAGATTAGTGTCTCTAGTCCTACCAGATTTATGTTGGTAAGAAACATAATTCAGTACTATGCTGGATAGAAATGGTAAGAGTGGGCATCTTTGCCTTTTCCCTGATCTTTGAGGAACAGCTTTCAGTCTTTCACCATTGAGGATGATGTTAGCTATGGCCTTTTTGTACATGGCCTTTAATATGTTTAGATTGTTCCTTGTGTTCCTAGTTCATTGAATTTTTTTTTTTTTAATATTTTTACTTATTTCTAGGAGAGAGAGAGAGACAGCGTGAGCAGGGGAAGGTCAAAGAGAGAGGGAGACACAGACTCTGAAATAGGCTCCAGAACCCACGAACCACGAGATCATGACCTAAGTGAAAGTCGGACGCTTAACCGACTAAGCCACCCAGGCGCCCCTCGTTGAATGTTTTTATTCATAAAGGGTATTGATTTTGTCAGACGATTTTTCTGCATCAGTTGAGATGATTATATGATTTTTTGTCCTTCGTTCTGTTAATGTGGTATATTATGTTATTTGAGTTTTGTATATTGAACCATCCTTGCATTCCAGGTATACATCCAACTTGTTCATAGTGTATAATTCTTTTAATGCACTATTGAATTTAGTTTGTTAGTATTTTGTTTAGGATTTTTGCATCGGTATTCATTAGGGATGTTAGTCTGTCATTGTCTTGTAGAGTCCTTTTCTGGTTTTGGTATCAGAGTAGTGCTGGCTTCAAAGAAGTTTGGAAGTGTTCCCTCCCCCTCAATTGTTGGGAAGAATTTGATGAGCATTGGTGTAAATTCTTTAAATATTGGGTAGAATTCTCCAGCGAAGCCATCTGGTCCTGGGCTTTTTTTTATTGGGAGGTTTTTGATTGTTTTAATCCCCTTACTAGTTAGTTACAGGCCTATTTAGATGTTGTTTTTTTCTCATGATTTGGTCCTGCTAAGTTGTATGTTTCTGAGAATTTATCCATTTCTTCTGGATTAGCCAATTTGTTGGGATATAATCGTCTTGTAATCCTTTTTATTTTTGTAACATAAGTTTTAATGTCCTTGCTTTCATATCAAGTAATTGAGTTACTTCCATTTTGTCTTTTATTCTTTTTTCCCTTTTTTTTCCTAATCTAGGTGAGGGCTTGTCAATTTTGTTAATCTCAAAAAAACAACTTTTTTTCTATTGTTCTTCTATTCTCCATTTAGTTCTGCTTTAAATTTTTCTTTCTTAATGTTTATTTTTGAGAGAGAGAGAGAGAGAGAGAGAGACAGAGCACGAGCAGGGGAAGGGAAGAGAGAGAGGGAAACACAGAATCTGAAGCAGGCTTCAGGCTGTGAGATGTCAGCACAGAGCCTGATGTGGGGCTTGAACTCATGAACTGTGAGATCATAACCTGACATTTAGCTCTGCTTTAATCTTTATTGCTACTTCCTTCCATTAACTTTTGGTTTAATTTGTTCTTCTTTTTCTAGTTCCTTGAGGAACTAGAATGTGTTGATTTTGAGATCTTTCTTTTTTAGTGTTTACTGCTACAAATTTCTCTCTCAGTATTGCTTTCCTAGCATCCCATATATTTTGGTATGTTGTGTTTCATTTTTCATTTGTCAGATATTTTCTTTTTTAAAAAATGTTTAATGTTCTGTTATTGAGAGAGAGAGAGAGAGAGCTAGCATGAGTGAGGGAGGGGCAGAGAGACAGGGAGACACAGAATCTGAAGCAGACTCTAAGCTCTGAGCTGTCAGCACAGAGCCTGATGCAAGGCTTAAACTCATGAACATGAGATCATGACCTGAACCGAAGTCTGATGCTTAACTGACTGAGCCACCTAGGCCCCCTGTTATCAGATATTTTCTAATTTCTCTTATGACTTCTTCTTTGAGCCCCAAATGTATTTTTTACTTAAAAGTTGTATGGAATATAAAATTATCTCAGGGTTTGGTTACCAAGGGAATACAAATATGGGATTATAGATCCTATTAAAATGGCACTAACTTAGATTGTATATTTCTTATTTTTAGGGCTTCTTCTATTTGTATGTTTAAAAAAAGGGAGGGCAGGGATTCCATTGAACTAGGAAATAGTGAAGAATAAGGGTGCTATTTTTTTTTTTTTAATTTTTAGAGATTGCATGAGTTAGGGAAAGGGGCAGAGGGAGAGAGAGAGGGAGAGAGAGAGAATCTTAAGCAGGTTCCATGCTGAGCAGGGCTTGATCCTACAACCCTGGGATCATGACCTGAGCTGAAATCGAGTTGGTTGCTCAACCGAGCCACCCAGGTGCCCCCAAAAAGTTCTATTTTAATAGACAGTGACCATCCACTGAGTACAAACCACTGTGCTTGGTACTGGAGATTCAGAAGCGCAGAAGACATCATCTCTGTTCTGATTTTCAGGGAGTTTTTTGTTTTTTGTTTTGAGAGACAGAGTGCATGCATGTGTAAGTGGGCGAGGGGCAAAGGGAGAGGGAGAATCGTAAGCAGGCTCCATGCCTAGTGTAGTCGGGCTCTATCTCAAGACTGCGAAGTCCGAAATCAAGAGTCGGATGCTTAACTGATGAGCCAGCCAGGCGCCCCAAGAAAGGAGCAACCATGAAGGGACTAATTTTCAGGGTTTTTTTTTTTTTTAAGTTTATTTATTTATTTTGAGGGAGAGAGTGAGCAGGGGAGGGACAGAGAGAGGGAGAGAAGAATCTGAAGCAAGCTCTGCACTGTCAGTATGGAGCCTGACATGGAGCTCACACCCATGAACTATGAGATCATGATCTGAACTGAAATCAGGAGTCAGATGTTTAACTGACTGAGCCACACAGGCACCCCTAGTGTTCAGTTTTATATGAAGGATGAGATTAGGCTGATGGTAACTCAGTAACTTACTGAGAAGATTGGCAGAGAAAACCAGCATTTAGGAGCAATGCCATGTTTACTGTCTGCCCATTGCTGCCTTGAGTTATTTAACACTTACTACCTTTAAAAAAATTGCTTTTTTCACTAGGCACAACACCATCACTGGGCGATGGCTGACCAGGTTCCAGGCTGTATGGGACCCTAAACAAGAAGACTGCATCGTAGTTGGCAGCATGGCTCATCCACGACGGGTGGAAATCTTCCATGAGTCAGGAAAGCAGGTGCATTCTTTTTTTGGTGGAGAATGCCTTGTCTCTGTGTGTTCCATTAACGCCATGCACCCAACTCGGTATATTTTGGCTGGAGGCAATTCCAGTGGGAAGATACATGTTTTTATGAATTAAGAAAGTTGCTGAGTGTTTGGTTTAGCAACATCAATTTGTTCAAATCATTGCCTGAGGAGCCTAGTAATTGATGTGGCTTGGTCTGTTTACTTGTTAACATATTCTACTTAGCAAATATAAAATTGATATTTTAGTAAGAAGTGCAAGTAGAATGTACTTTTAGTAAGGGAGAAGGCTGTTAAGTTGTTTCTGTAGTTTGGGGAGGGAATTTGACGGTGATTGCTTCAGCACTTTTTTTTTTTTTTTTTTTTTTTTACAAATAGTTTATTGTCAAATTAGTTTCCACATAATGCTTCAGCACTTTTAATCAGGCAGTATATTGAGAAATTCTAGTATTATAAATTACAAAGCTTTGATCAGTATTAAAAGTTTTTGTGGTTTAATGATATGGCTTTTGATAGTGATATTTGGATTTGTGGTTTCCTTTATAGTTTGGAGTGAATATTTATTTCTAGACTCATACACTGGAAGAGATCCTTGAAAGGTCATCTAACTTAGTGACTTTGAAACATTTAATTTTTTTTAATAGAGAGCTCTTTTCCCCCCTGCTTTTAAATTAAACCTTATGTGAAAGCCCAAGATAATTTTTGAGAAGCCGTAGTTCCCTTGGGCAGGGCCTGGGTCTGTGTGTGCTGAACCTTTCATCTCCTCTGGATGGTTCATGAGACGTGGCTAAGGAATTCTAGGGCTTCTAGGACCGATTTTGGATCTGCCTGACCCTTGTAATCCAGGGTAAGATTGCCTTCAGACCAGTGTTTTCCACACTGTGGTTTGTAGCTATTCACATGAAATCAGTTTAGCCATGACCAGAGCTTAAAAAAAGGAAAAGGAAAGAAATAGTAAAGAGTAATAAATATAGGGTAGGTGTTGTTTTGTGAAACTTAGTTATATGTGCATACCTATTTGTATGTATATGTGCACATGTATATTCTGATGTAAACTATATGTCTTTATTACTGTGGTACTGCTGTGAGTCATGGTTAAAGAAGTGAAAGCTCCCACCTTAGAAGGTCTCAGATACTCTGACCTGTCCCTGTCTTTAAACTCTCCAGAGGAGTTTCATTATCCTCTTAAGTGAATACCTTCATTCCTAGTTCATACTTGGGGGAAATGTTATAAAAAACCACTTTTGGCATTTTTCGTCATAAATTTTTTTTCTCAGAAGTTAGGGCAATTTGAATGTGTTGTTGGGAGGGTAGCTACTAAATCAGTGACTAACATTACCGTGAGATATTACCTTTTTTCGTTGCTCTTCATTGCCAAACTACTACTAGGAAGGACTATTGAAGGACTATTGTAAATAGTTTTTGGCAATATGTTTGAATTCTAAGAGGAAATATTTTCTCATATTGTGTATCACAGAAATAAAGTCACCTGTATAATTTCCTTCTCAGTAATTATTGAGGCCTTGTTTATTATATAGGTTATGTTTATAAGTAATAAGAGTTCTCTGTTTTCTTGATGATAGGAGTATAGGAATTGATAAGTGAAATGGAAATATTAATTTATGAAATGGAAGGGAAAGCTAAGTGAGGTTGACTTCTATTAAACTGTCCTGGAGATAATAAATGAAACCTGTAGACTCTCTTTCCCTTTTCTACACCACTTCATTTCACAGGTCCCTTAGTGACACTACTTCTGTGAGAAGTGCTCTTTTTTTTTTTTTTTAATTTTTTTAATGTTTTATTTATTTCTAGGAGAGAGAGAGAGAGACAACGTGAGCAGGGGAGGGTCAGAGAGAGAGGGAGTCACAGACTGAAACAGGCTCCAGGCTCTGAGCTGGCAGTCAGCACAGAGCCCAACGCGGGGCTCAAACCCACGAACCGCGAGATCATGACCTAAGCGAAAGTCGGATGCTTAACCGACTAAGCCACCCAGGCGCCCCGAGAAGTGCTCTTTTTTAAAGATATTGAAAAATACTCTCATTGAAATTAGTACCATCATTTAAGCTTTGAATACTTGGTGTTAATTGCCAGGTTTCTGCAATAAGTGTTAGCAAATTCTTGATGTTTCTCACTTTTGTGGTTTCTTTTGCCATTTTAGCTTCATAAACTGTGCTATTTATATCTAATTCCAGTTAATAGAGTTCTGTCTTCTTGAGGCAATGCAGAAAGGAAGGAGAGTGAGTGGGACTTGTTTCTCGGTGATAAGCTCTATAATGGAGTAATTGTTTAAATCTAGAAAGCACATAAAGGAAAATTGTCTCCCTTAGGACATCCTTAAACTGTAATCTGTTGTGAAACAGAGACTTGCTTAAAGCTTTGAGGCTTCTGTAATTATTCATATGTTATGATTGCTCTCTCTCTTTGGGATAAACCTTTTTTTAAGTTGGGCATTATGATATCTCTTAAGCATGTAAGCTCTCTATTTCTCTTGAGTCATTTTCTTTGATATGCCCAGCCTTCTTCTAAGACTTTAAGGAGGAAGGAGAGGATTCTCATCTTAGGTGGACAGAAACTTGGTCAAACTAGGAGAGACTTACAAATGATTAGGAATGAATAAATCTTAGATCCTTAAGTCCTATTTTGGTATTCAGGCCTTTGAGTTTCCTTTCCACAAAGATGATTGCAAAGGCAGTTCTCCAGGAAAGCAGGGAGCTTGGGGCTGTATACACAAAGATTTAAATCCTTTCAGTCAGTTATAGTACATGGGAAGGGAGGGGGGCAGACACAATTGCCTTCTGTATCAAACCCACAAGGAAGAAATGTATGCCCTTTAACTTCTGGTTCCAAAAACTTAGGTGTCCCTTTGTTAGGCTGTCCCTTCTGACTTAGTACTATGGTACTGATGGCCAGTAAGGAGTTGTAGTTCCAGGACCGCATAGAACCATATTTTGGTTCATTTGATTATAAATGTTTTGGGATTTTCAAAGCCAAAGGTGAAATTTTGTGAGGAAGATAACATTTAGTACAGTTAGAGGCAGGAATAAAACATTTTAAGGTACCTCTTCCTCAAATGAAAGCAATGCAAGAGGAAATGTTTTACAAGTTCTTTTGCCTATTTGATTCCACTCCATCAGCAAGGTGTAGGGGTGTGTAGAGGAAGCCTGTTCATGTGCTAAAACCAGGAGTGTATTCACTTGCAGAGGGGCTTGGTGATGGTTGAGGAACCCTAAGCAGAGGGAGTGGGTGCTAGAGCCCTGAAAGGGTCTGTACATAAGGGGTCCTCATTAGGTATCCACAGATGAGTGGCTGCCTTAAAGCTGTAGCATCATGGGGGCGCCTGGGTGGCTTAGTTAAGTGTCCAGCTTCAGCTCAGGTCATGATCTCATGGTCCATAAGTTCGAGCCCCATGTTGGGCTCTGTGCTGACAGCTCAGAGCCTGGAGCTCTGTCTCTCCCCCACTTGCACTCTGTCTCGTTGTCTTTGAAAAATAAATAAATGTTAAAGAAAAAAAAAGCTGTGGGATCATGGGATCACCACTCATATCCAGTGGTCCTTAGGCTTTTCTTTTTTGTTTTTAGAAAGCTTTTTTTTTTTTTTTTTTTTAAGAAAATGGTTGCAGAGAGGGGCAGGAAAGAGAATCTTAGGCAGGCTTCACACTGCACTGAATACTATGACCCTGGGATCATGATCTGAACTGAAATCAAGAGTTGAGTGCTCAACTTACTGAGCCATCCAGGTGCCCCTGTTTCTTAGGCTTTTTACTCTGCAGATCACTTTAAGCAAAGACTTTGTCATTAAAAACAAAAACGAAACTCCACTAGGGAGAGGATATTAGATATCATTTTATAGGTGATAGGAACCTCTGAAAATTTGAAGGTGGGTTACATAACTTGATTGGTGCTTTAGGAAGATGATCTAGCAGCAGAATGGAGCATTAAAGGGCAGATAGAATTGAAAACAGGAAGATTAGGTAAGAAACTAGCACAGTGGACCCAAGTTTCACTTTTCATCCTCATGGAATTTAGAAGATCATTACCAGTTTTGTAAACAGAGTGATGGTTACATAATCAGGTGAGATAATGTTATAGGAATATAGTTTTTAAGTTGTAATTATCAGGCTACTGAAGCAGTGACACCATTCTGTTCCCTTCACAGGAAATGTTTTCTGTTTTTCTTACTCCAGGCTTGAGTAAGAACACTGAACTAGAAGCTGGACCATGTAGGTTCTTGTTTCCAAAATTTTTTTAAATTTATTTTGGCGGCGGGGGCAGGGGAGGAGAGCGAGAGAGAGGGAGAGAGGGAGGGAGGGCGGGAGAGAGTGTGATTTTTAAGCAGGCTCTGCATGGTCAGTGTGGAGCCAGATGCAGAGCTCTATCCCATGGATTATGAGACCATGACCTGAGTTGAAATCAAGAGTTAATGCTTAAACGATTGAGCCACTCAGGTACCTCTAAGATTTTATTTTCTTAAGTAATTTCTACACCCAACATAGGGCTCAAACTCACAATCTCAATATCGAGAGTCTCATGTTCTATTTACTGAACCAGCCAGGTACCCTCCACCATCTCAGTTCTACTTTGGGCCCTAACTATGTGGCCTTAGGAGAATCACTCCCAGGTTTTCCTCAACAGAAAAATGAGGTCCAATTCATCTCTAAAATCATTCCATTATTACAGTTTCAACGTTCTTAGTAGTAGTTATTTTGGGGGGAAGGACAAGGATGATAGATGGATATAAGCAAAATGACTATTATTATTATTATTATTAGGAACAGAGAGAGGAGGGGCAGAGAGGTAAGTAGAGAGTGAATCTTAAGCAGGCTCCAAGCCCAGCGTGGAGCCCAACCTTATGACTGAGATCATGACCTGAGCCAAAAATCAAGAGTTGGATCCCTAACTGACTGAGCCAACCAGGTGCCCCAGTAAAATGACTATTTTAAATGATTCTAGTCATGAACAGAAGTCAGCTGTATAAATCCCCTTGGTATCCTTTTATCTCTGTGTTGGTAACTTTAAGGAGGAAAAAGTGAGACAAGCTGAAGGTTAAAAAAGAGTCCACTCTTCCATGATATTTAAATATTTATTTAAGTTTAAAAATAATTTTCATGGCACCAATGATTTTATGCTAACTACATACTGCATATGTAGAAAAAGTACATTGCTTTGAAGGAAAGTGTAACTTAGAGAATTTTTGGCACACGAAAGGTTAACAACTATACTTTTTAATGAAACTAAGAAATTCACATTTGCAGGTAGTTTACCTTCTACTGCTTAACGATGCAGTACACTATTCTTTAGTAAGAGTTTTATTTCCTCTGATGGATGAAGCTATGGAAACCATTGTTTTTTTCTACAATGAGATCAAACTAATTTTGAGAGAAAATGGGAGACATAGTGGAACACAGTAAAACCAGGTTAAAAATTTGAACAATGTTTAATGATGGGAAGATACCAAAATAGTCACCAACAAAGGAGGTTTGTTATTCAAGCTCTATTTGAAAAGCAAATCCAAGGAAACTTTACTATCTGTATTTTCTGGGGTAAGCCCTAGAAAAAAGTAACCCAAAAGTTTCTTTTCAGAGAGTAAAATCCAGCTGTTGGAAGTGGTATGGACTATTGTACTCTTAGAACTCTAGACACACACACACACAAAAAAAAAGAACTCTAGACACAAGTAACATACCAGGAAATGGAATACTGCATCTTTCTTTAATGTGAATATGAAAGGTCAGTGTCAAGGCTATCACTCACTGCATAGAAACACCATATTCTACAGACTGAGGTAGGAACACTACACTAAAAGTAATCTGCTATGTTGCATAAGACAGTAGATATCCAGGTTAAAACCAGCCCCCTGTATCCTGACAGCCTTTTCATCTCTGAGTCTACTTTTCACTTCAGTCCTGTGCTAAATAAAGCCTTTCCTGTGTAGATGACAAGTGGCAGTGGATAGTTGGTTCTAAGTGATCCCTAAGTTTTACTAGGATCTCCTTCAGTTTGTCTTGTCACTTGGTAAATAGATGTTTATAATTCTGCCCAAATTGTCGCTGGTATGGAAATGATCAGACATTCTTCTTCCATTCTTAGCTTCTGGTGGCGTTTTAGCATTTCAACACTTGGTCTTGCTCATCTTGGCATCAGATACCTCTGTGCTGGTTGGTTGTTCAAGCACCCTTTAAACAAGCAACCCCAGTGCCTCCACTGGGATATGGTCCTGGACCTTTAGCAAGTCAGGAATGGGAGCAGAGCTGACCCTCTAACATACTGGTAAGGAGCAGTTTTGTTGTCTAGATCCGGGTTGGCAAATTATGGCCTGTGCTCCAAATTCAACTATTTTTAGAAATAAATTTTTATAGAACACAGCCATGTTCCCTTGTTTATGTATTACCTATGGCTGTTTTTGTGCTATGACGGCAAAGTTGAGTAGTTGCCACAGAGTATGTCCCACAAAACCAAAATAAAAAAATATTTGCTCTCTGGCACTTTACAGAAGAAGTTTGCC